TAATCTTAATTTTTAGAAATAACTTAATTGATACTCTATGTTCTATAAAAGGTCCCATTCTAGCCTATACTAATAAAATATTTTCATATTAGCTGTGACATTCGAGTATGAACATAGTTTACATTTTATGGTACGCTATTTAATGTACAAACTACTTAATATGATAGCATTATATCGTCTGATCTCACAAGCCACTATTAGTATTATCTATTGTTTCCTAAGCAAGTTTTTAAAAACTTTTCTTGTATTCAACGAATCGGTCGAATGCGAAGTAGGTGAGTAAAGAAGAATGTAGCAGCAAGTATTCCAAACCATTTTTCGCCTCATGCTTATGATCATATTTTTTGTAAGAATATGTTCTTTTTTAACACGCTTCCATTTACATGTCCAGGTTTATACTTAAAATATATATTCAAATGTATATTTGTGATTAAAAGTGATATTAAATTATAAGCCTATCCTTAAGCTAAACAATAAATATTTTCAGGCATTTATATCTTACACAATTTTGTTCCCATTTTTGTAATTCTTTCACCTGTTTTACTTCGATTTCAGTAAAGCTAAAGGTCTTCATTGAATGCAGAAGGGACTGCTCTTCTAAATGCAATCACAGTTTGTACGCTTATCTATCGAATAAGGTCAGTAATCACGGTTTCTAGAACAGTATCAATTATCTATATTTCCTCATTCTCCTTTTTTTATAGTTACCTCCACATATGTTTTATAATCTGGCTATTTCCCATTCAATAAGATAAAACTCTATGGCAATGGTCCTTTCCTTTAGATTCCTTTCTTTTCTATTCAAACAAATTTGCGATTTTTTTCCATATTACCCTTTTAGAATGACTGCTTTACTTGCTTGCTGGATTGCATCTCAACGTTTACTGAGCAGGCTGAAAAAGTTGGAGTAAGTTAATGAAAGAAGAATTTGCAAGATGTGATTTACTGCTATTAGACCAATGGTTGTAGCTAAGGTATATTAATAAAGAGATGTGAGAACGCGTTTTAAGAAGCATTACACTTCCTGGGCTGTTCGTGGAATGAGTCCATGATAGGCATAATAAAGTGTCTTCCACAAGATTTTGGCATACTTTTCCTGTTAAAGTGGTAATTAAAGAAGCATTTCCTTTTAGAAGCATACACAAAAGTTTTGTCCTGAAAGTTTTATTTATTTTTTTTCAACATTATTAAGAGTCAATTAATTCGAATTGTTTACAATCTGGAACCATAAAGACATATTATACCACTAGACGAGAGCTTAAACTGATGTAACACAATACTCGTATTAATATTTTGAAGGAGTTTGATTATTCCTAATTGAGATGACTATTTTAATTGCAATAATCTTATACTTGACAAAGATTTTGAATTAATTATATAATTTTAGCATGCAGCAACCATTAGATAAGTCCTATGTACTTTAGGTCTAAGGCCGTTTCCAAACCTCTCCTAACAAGTAGGTAACTAAAAGGAGTTTATCGACCACTCAGTGTCAGCGAGACACAAATTCTCCAAAAGGACTATGCTGGGGGTTTGTACTGTCTGGCACAAATATTTAATAATTATCACATGAAAAAACTACCTGAGCTGAATACCTTTTATAATATAAAAATGTGGCATTGAGAAGAAGTTGTTTTCTTTTAGTCAACAAAATTTGTTTTGAAAATAAAATTACTAAGGTAATGAAGTCGTAAGAGAGTACCCTGACAAATAGCGGCCGACCGGCAACACATGTGAATGCAATCCTGAGCTTTTCAAGGACATCTCGGTCCACCATAAATTCAAAGAAATCGAATCTATCAGGACAAACTACAGTAAAATCAACCTCTCTTCAGGCTCAAATTATCCAACCTCAAAACCAGTTGTCAGCCAAAAATATATAAACATTCCTGCTTGAGAAATCCTAATTAATCCCTTCAATTCTTTCATTTTCCATTCTATTCATAAATTTACAAGAAGTTTCAGCAACGAATATAGTGTCTTGAATGAGTGCAATCAATCGGCTTACCAGAGTATATGCTCTTTCCTTAGAAATATAGCATGTAGCCTTGATCCTGCTTTAAGACCAGACCATGTAAAGTCCACTTCATCTTCACTTTAATTCATCAGAACTTAATGCAAAGTGCATGACCGAAATTATCATCCCAGTACTTCATGATCACACTTATAGGGTAAAGTGGTTGCGATTTAGCCTCTTTTTATACTCTGGATCAAAATATCGAGAATAATCTTATTTGAAACATTATTTCAAGGTAATTTGAAATTTTTCTAATACCGATTATTTTGATTTAAAAATTTTACCCTTTTTGGCATTTTGACATCTATAGGTAAAGGATTTTTTTGCTAACAGATGAGGCTCACCCCGTCACCACTTGTACATTTCTAAGTCCTTTTCAATCTCAATAAACTAGTCAAATTATTATGATTCCTTTAGTCACACCATTAAGTAGTTTGTTTAACTTTCATTATAGCATGAATTTCTGTAGAATGCAACTTTTTATAAGGCATGTTATCAGTTCAGTGTGTACTAATGATAAAAATCATAATTGTCGTGCTATTATGAATTCAAAGAACTCCTGAAGTTGCAATTTTACAGACACCTCACAGCGCAGTTGGTTTTCCTGTAAGATTGAAAAGCCTTCTTCTCTTACAATGCCAAAAGTAATGGAAGTATTAGCGTAAAAACAGGTGGCATCGGAAATTTGGGAAAATTCTGAGAAATTTGGCGACAAAGTCTGGATTAAAAGTATGAATCACTTGTATAAAGCAGGGTTTGCGCAGTGTTTGTTAATGCTTAAACTTTTCAGCTTCGAGCATAAAATTTTCCCATTCATTTATATGGTCATTGCTTTAGTACCTTTTCAAAATTTTCCCCGGCATCATCAGTGAGAGTAAGCACAGAGTTACAAGTTATTAAAGTGACAAGTGAAGGCAATCCCCTTAACCAATTTTCTATCCATCCGTTGTGGCATCACTACTCGACCCTGTTTTTTGTTTTACTTTCTAGTGCCGCCTCTCTTTCTCTCAACCCCTCTTCATATGGCCCATCTACTTATTCACACAATTCTGTGCTCTCGTTTCCTCCAATGTCGCCCCAGAAGGTGTTGCTACAAGTGGGTTTAGTGAAGCGCAGTCATCTCCACCACTGGTGCCAGGTGCCGTTTGCAGAGCTACTGATCTTCATTCAGTCCACCTTTCTCCTATCCAACTTGTCAATTGGTCGCTGTTAGACATTTACATCACTGTCTTTACAGTCAGAAATCTGGCTGACTACGAGGCTTTAGTTCTCGTCCACAAATACGCCATATTCGAGGATTTAGAGCATATTATGTCCATGTTCATACCCATGCCAATGCCTGGGAAGCTTCCTCTCCCTAGATTTTAAACCCATGACTCGATTATCCTCTCCCTCATCCCCACCCACATTGTGTCTAATCCTTTGGGGCCCTGTGTTCGGCTTAAGTCATAACTGCTGATATGAAGATCCACTGATTGCCATTTTCCATCTGAATCGAGAAAGGCACACTACTCTCGTCCATAAAGTTGACATTCCCATCTAGACTTAGGGTGCCAGGATGTTCACGTATGTTGGCTGATACTCTTATGGTCAAGCGTGCCATCAATCACCTACCCTTAATGCACACACACACACTGATGACCTATAGCTGGCCCACTTATACATTTAGTCTTTAATTTTCTATCCGACATCACATAGGTGGATCCCACTCCCGAGTTAATTGTGTGGCTGGTAGGGGCGATGTGTTCAACAATCTTCGAGCTTTCCGCATCCGTTTTTATGAATAGTCGCCGGTGTTCTTTCATCCTTGTGCCGATTGCCCTTCCTGTCTCTCTAATACATGTTTGTTTAGAGTCCTTACAGTTTTGTCCTGTAAACTCTGGAGCACTCCAGTTTGTTAACTTCTTCATGTTGATTAGGCAAGCGGGTGAAGTGGATTGTCCCTTCCTGCAAGATAGTAAGAATGTTCCATTTCCATAGGATCGGCCGCAACTCTCGAGTCAATTCACAGGAAAGTAGAAATATCCATCGTTTTTCCTCTCTTCCTCTTGCTTTCCTTGCATAATCTCCATCCTTCCATCTGTTCTTTACCATCCGCATGTTGCGTTGTATTGCTTCTTCTGGATGTCAGTTTCCAAGAAACACATCAGTTTTTTCAGTTTCTCTTCCCAGAACTCAGAATAAGTAAGTCGTAGGCTTCTTATGACTATATCTTTATTCCATAAATATGGTTAGACTGGAAGTTAAGGGTCATTCCAGAAGGCGATTTCTTTAGGAAACTTCGTTTCTTGATAGTTTCCTTGGAGCGAATGGCCTCCACATCCAAGAACGGCAAGTGTGCGTTCTCTTCAAAATTCATGGTAAATTTGAATTTCTCATCCATTTCGTTTATGACGATCAGGAAATCGTCTAATTATTCGTTTCCATGCGACCAGCATGCGAAGTAGTGACCCAAATATTTCGCATAATTGGTGTTGGTTTAGGTGACGTTTTGAAATTATCTTGCAACTTATCCATGTAGGCATTAGTCAACAGACCCCACAGGCAGACGAAATATTTGTTCAGAAATGCATCCGTTGAACCTGAAATAGGTAGTTTATTATTGTTAGGTTGATTAATTGGACTAGAGACTCCTTAATGATTTGCTCCGACTCCAGGATGTCCTCTTCTTTTTGAAAGATCTTCACTAATATTGTGAGTGCTTTGCCTCCTGTGATGCTAGTGTACATGGACTGTACATCAAAGCTCACCAAAAGTTCGTTTCTTTCCAGACTGTTGCCTTTGATTCTTCGGCAAAATTCGTATGAGTTCTTTACTCTATTTGATAATCTGTCATTCACCTTCTTTGACTTAAAGCAGATAAATTTCGCCAGTTTATGGGCTGCAACGTGTTTACCCTATTTCGTTTAAGGTGATGAAGGACTGGCAGTAGAATTTTCCCACAAAGATATGAGTAGAGCTGAAGTTTCCATTGAATTTCACATAGTTTTGCTTCCCATAAGTTTTTCTGCCCTGTGACCCAAGGACATAGGTTTATAGGTTTCCATTACTACTTTGCTTCATGTAATTGTAAGATTGATGGACTGTTCTGATTATATTTGTCATATAGCAATCCAAAGTTTGACACGCTTCCATCGGAATCAAAAGATAATGTCTCGAAGGCAGAGCGAGACAATACTCCCGTGAAGCCAGACAACAGCTGACCAAGAGGAGTCCGTTGTCATTTTCTGATGGGATCAACTTTCAAATCTCTTAACCACACACTTTTACTTCAAATAAAATTCAGCACAAAAATTGTATCCTAGTTGAAAGCTGAAAACCCAACCTTTCTTCGTATAAAGAATAAGTTTTAGAGTCCTGGTAAATTTTTGCTTTTTCCTTTTCTATTCAATTTTTGCCTCTTCTTAATGCATCTCTTCTCGTGTTTGCCTTCTCCTTCGACTTAAAGCTGCGAATGAAAACCGATGATGAGAGCACACCCTTCTCAGCGAGCAAGGAGGCCCTTTACGCCCCTGGAAACGCTGGTCGAAAGCGCCGTCTTCGGGATAACACCTACAATCTGTCTCCACACAGAGCCAAATTAACCACGTAGATGCTTCTATGTGTATACTCTGTCCATTTTCTACTTAAATCGATATATGCTCGAAAGGGGGGGGTAGTTGAAAAGCACCGTTTTATGCCGAACAGAATCTATGCAAGTGTATCGACTACCTTGCTAGTCAAAATTTAGAATAAATTTCCATAGAAATGAGGCTATGTTCGAAGAAGCATTATAAAAACAAACTACTTCATCCTTCCTCCCTATAACTTTGTATCTCATTACAGTAAATCTGCTTTGTTTGTATGCATCACTAATCTATCATTATTCATTTGATAATCTGCAGGGTGTCATTGCACTATTCTTTTTTAACCTTGCTGAAATATTATTGTAATTTTTTCTATATCTTGTAGCATAATTCATTTTATCTTTTTATTTGTTCTGAATTAACCGAAAACAAAATCATGACTTGCCTTACCTAATCTTTTTGGTTAATACACTATCACCTTCTAACTACAGGCCCTGCCGAATACTTTCCTAAGGTAAATTTACTTAAATGACTCATCAATCTTCTAGTGGTAACTTATGCTGCAATCTATTTTGGAAGAGTCCCTGTGTTTCTCCATACTGTCAACTATCTTCGGTGAATTGGAAGACTTACTCCAATAGCTTATCATAACCCCTTTATTCTACACTTAGGTAGAGAGCAAAGTTACTCGAATTCGTAAATGCACTTCAACTGTAAGTTGACTTAATTTTGAGTACCAAATTGAGTGGAGTTCGTTGTAAAGCAGAACCTTCTATTCAGGGCATCCTGGATGAAAAACTGTATTGCCTTTAATTATTAAACAAAGAATGGTATACCTCTAATTTCAAGCGTTGTTCATACTTTATTTCGACAATGAATTAGAAATAAACCTATCAAATATGGACTCCCAAAGCTCTGATATAGTCTGTGGCTAATGTAATTTAAAAGCTACTATTTAG